TTAACAAGAAACGCGTTTTGCTCAATATCTTAGAACCTGTCTCTTATACACATCTAGATGTGTATAAGAGACAGGTATAAATATGTATATATATATATATAATAAAACTGCAGTTGTTAAAATAAACGCCGGACACTTCGACATAGTTTCAACAGTAGCTTTGATTAGACATTTTATTACTACTTAGGCCTAGTTTCGTGACACTCTCCAGATAAAAATTGCTATTTAGGCAATTTTATCTGAAGAGTGTCACACCATGCGTGTGGTGCGAAACTAAGTAGTAATAAAATGTCTAATCAAAGCTACTGTTGAACCTCGCTTTTTATTTATTTATATCCGCTCTGGTCTACCAGCACTCTGCTGGTAATACGTTCCATAGTTTATTTCTGTTATTGTGTTTTGGTCTCTCTACCTCCAGCTCGAGGTCGGGTTTCGAACCTTCGATGTGCATTTTGTTCTTGGACAAGGCACTTTAACTACGTTTGTCTTTCTCCACCCAGGAGTATAAACGGCCCGGTTCATTATGGGGAGTAAAAAGAATGCGTGGAAAGGAACTGGCCACCCTACCACACAATGCCGAAGCTTATACGATGGGAGAACAGCTTATTTCCCTACGTTCAGTAATTGATACGGGACTACATTTACTTGATTTTATTTTCCTTCTAAATGTCGAATCAATAATTTAAAATTTCAAAAAATCGCGCAGCGGGCAGGGAAAATGATCTCTAATGGACCTTTCCGCTAAGCCCCGCCCATTGGATATTGTTGCTAAGGTCCCACAAGACAACAATGTTAAAACATACGCAAACACGTGCGTTTGTGGGACAACACGTGTGTTTGTGAGACGCGCGCGTATTCCTAGCGTTGTTCTGATTAGTCAGTTGTTAAGTTTGATTGACACTCCGGAAAGGTCTATTGTATTTCTACTAAAGCCGGGCACTGACTGCGCCCGACGGTCGTCGGCCGACGGCATTCCATGCAGAACAAAACGCCACAGCGCGAGCGCCTACAGATCGTTCAGACAGCCACCGACAATTAGCAGAAGATTTACGGGTACTACTCCATACATACCATGCTGAAATCATTTAATGTCTCAATATATGTATAATTAAACATACATTACAAAACAATTTTCCTTTAAATTGTAGGAAAGGTTCCCTGAGCAAAGGCCATCCCCTGGGGCATTGGAATCAGATATGATATTAACTGAAAAACAGAAAGCTACCATCGCCAGACTAGAAAAATTAGAAAAATTGGACGAGCCAGAACCGAATGCTCGCAAGGCGATCAGTGATCTGTCTCGTAGATGGCCGAATAAGCTCGTTTACTACAGCATTACGTCCGGTTCCGGTAAGTCCTATGCCTATAATTTTTTTTCAAAAGCTATGACACTCAGCTCGCTCTTAGTACGTTTAAAATGTCTACATAATAATTTGTTTTAATTTTTAACGTCAGCATTGTAATTAAGTTAGAAAGAATCAATCTATTCTATTAAAAAATAGGTAGTATCATTATTAGCTCCGATGAGGAGCTCTAGAAACACTCGGCTGATTGATTACCAGTTAAAGATACAAAACAAAATTCTATAAAATCGATGTTGAATTGCTTATTTAAAATAAAAACATTATAAACTTTCATCAAGTTATACATCAAAATATGTATGTCTATTAAACTGATGTATGCCCAACATAATAGCATAGTGTGCCATGAAGTGATGTCATCATTACCATATTTAGACATGTCACATGTTTTTGTCAAATACAAATTTGATCGTCTGGACAGGGCAGGGATTTACTCTAAAATTTATTAATTTGCTGAAAAAAAAAATGATTTAAGACTATAATACGTGCAATATTTAGGTATACGATATTATCAATTTATTTTTTATTTAATTTTGAAGTTTATAATTTTTAAGGGGCAGGGCTGTACTGTATAATGTTTGAAAATTAAAATATACTCAAAAATTATATTTGTCTGAATGTATCAATATAGTTATGTAATTGTTGTCATTATTTTAATTTTAGAGCCTGACAGGATCAATATTAAACAAGCTTTAGCAAACTGGAGTAACATGACATGTTTGCGTTTTGAGGAAGTGCCTTCAGGATCAAACATCAGTCATATCCAAGTAATCAAAGGAAGGGGGTAAGGCACTGGCATCAACCAATTTAACTTTCCCTTGCCCCTCTTGGATAATGTTGCTAAGGTCCCGCAAAAATGGTCTCGTAAATCTTGTGGTACATACCCGTCTTGGCCCTGTTCTGATTGGTCAATTTTAAGTTTGATTGACACCTGGGTGTAATTGTGATATACAGAATTAGACTTTGTGTCCTTTATTAGCATTTTGCATAAGTAAGTGACAATCACATGACAAGTCACACATCAATAATTATAGTGAGTCACAATAAAACTCTAGTGATTGTTTTAAAATGTAAACATCATGGTATGATGCAGTGCGTCATTTACATAATTATAGGCCTACGCTTTTAGGACCATAGACCACGTAAACTATAAACCTTTAATTTGAGTCTGCTTTATAAATTTCAGGTGTTATTCCAAAGTCGGGTTTGTAGACGAAGTTCCTCAAAACTTATCGATTGGACAAGGCTGTTCCGGGGTAAAGAACATGTATAGTATGATAATCTAAGTTTGACTTAAATATTTGAACGCATTTCTATTAAACATGCGAAACTATCTAATAACCTAACTTTGCTGAAGAGAGGGAGATTACAATCCAAACGGTTCTTCTCAGAACCAAATACCATTAATTGAGATTTGTATCACATGGTGTACCGAAAACTTATTCATTAATATTAATTACTATTGTCAATTCGCCATGCAAACATTCAAGAATAATAATAATTGAATTTTCCCGCTACAGCAGAAATTAATTGTCTGTTTTTTCTTCATATATGCCGTTCCCCTATGTATTTTTGGACAGGGTTTTTACATCCTCCACTCATTAACTTTTCTTGCTGGCATCTTCTTCAAACTTAGTCAAAGCAAAGGCCTCAAAGATAATTATACCCAGTGAAAATGATGTCATTCTACATTTAAAAAAAAAAGGGGGGGGGGGGAAATCCAATCTTATTAAACTGGTAATTAAACTTTAATGTAGCAATTTAACGCAATTTGCGTTTTCTAATTGTTTATTTAATTTAATAATGCTATTAGTATAGTAACTTTATTAATTATTGTTATTTCAATTTGTCACTAAGGTTGGAACAATCATGCACGAGTTTGGTCACGCGCTTGGTTTCTTCCACGAGCAATCACGACCTGACCGCGATGAACATATCCGGGTCAACTATACCAACATTATAAGTGGCTACGAAAGACAGTTCCAAAAGTATCCAACAAGTAGAATAACCACTGAAAATGTCCCATACGATGTCGGCTCAATTATGCATTACGGTGAAGACGTAAGTGATGAAAATATTCTTATAACGTATTCCTGTCCTGTTCATGATTGGTCAGTTGTTGAGTTTGAAAGATCCATTAATGTCTAGCTGTATATAAATACTTTTTATCTGTAAAGCTATGATTGACAATCAAAATATCTCGTTTTCATTTTGAACTGAAAGCTGATAAAGTAATTATTTACAATTTTAAACCGAAGACTCTTAAATTATTTTTACAATGTAAACAATTCAATTATTGCCTTTTATTATCTGTATTTGTTAACAAGAGCAAAATGCATTACGGATAAATGAATGAAAGAAAACTGAGGATTCTCATTCACCATGTTTAGATACCATGTAGCCCTATGAAACGGTAACAAATAGTTATGTATTATTTTCAAAAACATAATCGATTTCAATCCCTTTGTTATTGATTACTTTAGTATTATTCAAGCAATCATCTTCCAACAATCAGCATAATCAATCCACTTGAAAGAGCCAGAGTTGGAAACCGGGACGCACTCACTTTCTATGACGTCAAATTGGCTAATCTTATATACCAGTGCAGTGGTATGATTTACAATCTTTCTAATTTAAAACCATAGAAGGCTCCGGGTATTAATTACTACATAGCTCAACTATTTGTATGTTTTGTTTGCAGCTGGATGCAGCCCGATAGATTGTCAGAATGAGGGGTATGTTGGGCCACACTGCGCATGCGTATGTAAGGATGGATTTTACGGGCCTAACTGCGAATTACAAGGTACTGCACTTTTTTTTTTATCAGTGTCCTTATTATATGTGTCAATTATCACAGCGCAAAATAATGAAGATTTTTCAGAATATAAAAAAATATTTGTCTCTCAGATTATGAGTGCTCTTACACGATCGAGGCTTTGGCCGGAATTATTGATTCACCTAACTTCCCACAAAACTACGAGAATAACATGTACTGCACTGCTATTATCAAGGTAAGTATGATAGGCCTATAATTCAAATTGGCCCTTGTCGACCCTTGCTCTTAACTAACCCGTACACCAACTCGTCCCTTATCCAAAACGCCCCATAACCGATTCTGCACGTACACAAACACGTCCCTTGTCAAACAACTCGGCCTAGTTGATTTGTTAATATAAATTATAATTTTAACGTAATTATTATTCATTTTTCGATGTAATGTTATATAATAATATTATTACGTTATAACAAATCACAGAATTGCACAATAATCAATAAAAACAGACAGGCATGCCAATTGTTGATTTTTTTTAAAATTTTTTTTTGTTATTTAAATTATAATTTTATGTTTCATAAGGGCCGAGTTGTTATGAACTGAGTTGGTGGGATCGAATTGAATTTACTGTGTTCATATATCGGAAATTTTGTATTAAATGTTGCTTTTGTTTATTGTGCAGGCCCCCGAGGGTGAAACTATTACTCTTACATTCACTGCACTAAATGTTGAATACGAAAATTCTTGTGAGTATGATTACGTCGAAGTGCGGGACAGTGTCGATAGCTTCGAAAGCTCACAAAGGTAAGGCTCAATGCAATTGTTTTCTGTTATTAATAAAAGACAATGGTATACTTGTGTGTAATTTACAAAATTTCTTAACTTTTTACTTTTGGCGTTAAAAATTATGAAATGAATGATATAATAATTATGGTTGAATGATAATAATTTGAATGACAAGGTGACGTAGGCAAATATAAAACTGATGTTTATTATATTGTACATCTTTAAGAAGCGCCTCGGCTTTTCAGTTTCTATAGGGCCAATGACAGTAATGCATTTCTGTTTCTTTAGATTTTGCGGCGCAATTTTACCAGAACCAATCACTGGTGAAGGAAACCAGTTAGCAGTCATTTTCCGGTCTGACCAATCAGTGATCTCCTCTGGTTTCTCTGCTAGCTACGTCATTAGTGGGGGCATCATACCCACAGAGAGCAATCGCGTGTCTACAACTGAAAATAGTGGACTCGTCATCGATGGTAAGAAGTAATACATATACAATTAAAACGTCAACAATATATATACATTTAAATACTGTAGTACTGGGTGTTTACTAAGAATTTATAGAGGTGAAGTGTCTTTTCCCCCTCCCCTTGTAATTCCTGTAGCGATAGATTGCGAACGTGGAGTCCACTGAATTCATTAAGAATTCCAATGTAGTCTATTACTGTACCTATTAATAATTAAGTATATTTATATATGAATAAAACATATTTTAGAACTATATAAAGTAGGCACTATTTGTATATTTATCCTTAACTAATCAGTGTTATTGTATTATTAATATTGATGTAACTACAGGATGCAACATTGAATCGAATCTTGAAAGTGGTACATTTACGTCACCAAACTATCCAGCATTGTATGATAACGATCTCGACTGCACTTACACTATCAACGTAAGTATGCGTTCTCAATAATACTTACAGGCCTATTATACGATACAATTGTTAAAAGACATAATTAGGCAGAAGGTTCTACCAACTTTAAGGAACTAATCTATATGGCCTAAATAGCCTCAGTGAGATATCAAGATCGTTGGCAGATTTCTTTTATTTATTTTTATTTTATTTTATTTATTTATTTATTTAGGCACACAACACATGCACCAATAATTGTCAATAGCGAATTACATCACTGTCCTACTAGGTGACAATCTCTTTCACAAGTCAAACATTATACACATACGATGCTTTACACAAACGTACTAAATCTCAATATGCGAGTTGGGAGTGGAGTTGTTTTGGTCGTGAGAAAAAATTCTGCAACACTGACAGAAACTGAACCCAGGAGCCTGGAATTGAGAGGCAAGATCTTAACCACCAAGCTATTCAACTGCACATACATTCATTTAAATATGGTCAATTGACATCACATCATTAGGCACATCATGACTATATATAGGCACATCATGACTATATATGGGCACATCATGACTATATATGGGCACATCATGACTATATATAGGCACATCATGACTATATATAGGCACATCATGACTATATATGGGCACATCATGACTATATATGGGCATACAACAGTTTTTTGTCAAAGAAAATTTGATAGTATGGACAGAGCTTAAGGAGTGTCAATGAAAACACCACGTTTAAAGCTGGACACTGCCCTCAACGGTCGTTGGCCAACGCGATTCTATGAAGAACGCTACGCGTCGACAGGCGCGCAACGGATCGTTTTTAATGACGATCCGTTCAGACGACCACCGACAATCATCAGACGGAGTCGCATAGTTTAGCGCTCAAAGGGAGCGGAATTTGATTCGTCGTGCTACGGCCGTCCGACAAAGTGAGTGCCCGGCCTTAGAAACAGAACTATCCATAACATAATTATATATGTTTAACTGTTTTCTCTTTAGGTTGCCAAGAATCAGATCATCACACTGTCGTTCATTGAATTCAGACTGGAAGCTCAATCGTCCTGCGTATGGGATTACCTATTGGTAGATGGCGTCAGGTACGCTGGCATGATATGATTCTTGATTTCTGTAGTTTATTCTTGATTGTTACTGGCCCATAACTTCCAATCCTGTTTTAAATACCCTTCATTTCTTCCCTTTTCTTCGCATTCCACTTTCCCCTTTTTCGTCCACGAAAACTGCTCAAATAATGTTTTATACTGTCATACAATTTATATATTTCCGATAACGTCACTTTTTAACTTTAGATACTGCGGAACTAATTCTCCTGCTACTTTAACATCTGATATCGGGAGCAGCTTAACTTTCGCATTGCACTCAGATTACAGTATTGGAGCGCCTGGGTTCCTTGCCGAATACAGCGTCCGTACCTTGGATGGCACATATACCAATTTCTTCGAGTGGAGTGAGTGCGTTCTTTTTGAACCATGTGGTAGCTACAGAAGATTTAGAACTCGTATTTGCACCAAAGGACCTGGGCAATGTTTTGGACCCGCTGTCGAAAGCGAAGAATGTACTGTCACAGGCCCTGGTGTTTAATCTTGGTTCACAAACGCAAACGCAAAATAAGAAAAGTTTAGTAGAGTACGTCGAGGCTTTGTGTAAGCTTAGGTTGAGCTCTTTTGCTAAGCACTCACTTGAATATTGCGTGGGACTTTAAACAGTGTAAACATACGTAAACTGGTATGTTTGTCAGGCATGTGCGTAATCCTGGCTATTAAATAACATGTTCTGATTGGTCAGTTGTTAAGTTTAATTGACGTTCCGGAAAGACGTTATTGTCAATATATTACGTCTACATTTTGTAGGCGTGATATATTTATCATCAGATTGTTTTCTATTTGTTGTTAATTGTCATCATGTTGATGATGCAAGAAATGCTGCAATATACATCTGCAATGTTAGCACTTTTATTTTGTACGGTATATTAAACAATGTGATGATTAAATTTAATGTGATTGTCAAAATAATTACGTTCCGTATTAAGTATTATTTCCCTTGAATTCATTGGACCAGAAGCTCAAACTCGCTTGATTATGCAGCTACGGTGGCCCAAAAGTGTCACGGCAACAAATTCCGAAATATCAGGCACACTTTTGAATATGTCTTTGGGTTTATCATCGAATTGAAAGATTGGGATTCGTGTCTATATATTCGTAGCCTATATTTCTTGAGTGTGAACAAAACTTTAAAAGGTACGGTACCAGTACCAGACAAGTACACTGATTAGGCTTCCTACTTGATACTTATAAAATATTCTCCATGGATCTTGATTTAATGATCGGGTATGCTTATGAAATGCATTAAGACATTTAATTGATTCCCTATACTTATCTCCGCGCCATATACAATAAAAAATATAATGATTTATGTATGCAATTATAATAAGACCGCACGTACATCACGTCACTTCAATCAATACAGATTGTTTATTTTTCAAGAATGAAATTAGATAAATAATGAAGAAGAGAGGAACACAAAACATCTTAAATAACAAGAGTAATAATATTTACCTAAGGCTCAGGCATTATATAAGTATAATTATAAGTGAAAATTGATTAATTTATTCTTACGATGTCGAAACACAAGCTACGATATAAATTTCCAAGTGTGTTTCACACCTGGAAATTGCATTAATTACAAATATTAGCGTTGAAAGCGAGGTATATTTTAATATAAATCTATCTATTCATTTCCTTGTGCAACATATTATTGATATGTTCTTGACGTTGAGATCAAGATGAAGTAAAACAAAACAAAACAAAAAATTAAATAAACGAGAAAAAAAGGTTTGAAAAATTTAAACAAAATACAGAAAAAAAAACAAAAATAGAATTGAGAAAAAAAAAGCAAACGGAAAAGATAAAGGAAGATAAGTAAAACGAAGATAAAAGGCAAAAGGGGAAGGCTAACCGGTATATTAAATTATTAAATACTTGAAAAACAAAGCATGACCATAATTACATCAGAAAGAAAAGATAGGTCTATATCAGAAGAATGTAGTAACATGAGGGATAAAAAATGTAATTTATTAGTGAATCGAGGAATAACGTGTACGAATATTAACGAAGGTAGAGATCTAAATGAATGAATAGTGTCCAATAAAAGAAAAAGAATTGACGATGAACAGATTAAAATAATATAGGCCTAACGAAATATGAGCACCAATCAAAGAAGTTTAGAGAATATAAACGGAAGTATATGAATATTTGCAGAAAAATGAAAAAGGTACAAAATCGAGAAAATTACAACGTGCAAGACGTAGTAGCGGTATGAAGCAGTGTACAGAAGACGAAGAAGAACAGAATTTGAAATAAAGAATTAGAAAAGTGGTAAATAGAAGAAAAAATAAATACGGTAGATAACAAAGGACGAAGAAAGATTTGAGAAAAAGAGGAGTTAACAAGACATAGACGAGTGAACATATAGTGAGGCAATTGGTATGAACATCATAAGAGCAAAGAAGATGGGAAAAAAAGAGTTGAAAAAGAATAGAGAGTTAAAGAAATATAACAATAATAAAGAAAAATAGAGTACAGTAGAAGATGAGAAGACGAAGATGTAAAAGTAGAAGAAAAAGAAGACTGAAGTAGAAGATTAAATGAAGAAAAAGAAGAAAAATGAGAATAAGGATGAGAAGAAGAAAAAGAAGAAGAAAAAGTAGAAGAATGAGGAGGAGGCAGAAGAGGAGAGGTAGAAATTGTACAGAACAGTGGCGGCGCCAGCGAGGGCAGGGGGCTTAAGCTCCCCCATCGGTCTGCTCAAGCCCCCCCCCCACCATCGGCCAAAGCTCGTCGGGCACAGTCGGACCAAAAAAAAAAAAAAAAATAGGTCTAGTTTTCCAATCCTAGCCATTTCTGGCCATCTAGAAGTGTTTTTTTTTTAAGGAGGAAGAGGAGAGGTAGAAAGTGTACAGAAGACAAAGAACAAAGTTAGAAAATAAAGGACTAGAAACAAAAAGAAGATGAAAGTGAATAGAAGAAAAAATATATAGATAACAAAGAATGAAGAACGATTTGAGAAAAAGAGAGGTTTACAAGCAATAGAAGAGTGAACAGAGTGAAGCAATTGGTAGTAATGTGAATATCATATGAGTTGGAGGAGAATAGAGAGTTAGAGAAATATAACAATAATAAAGAAAAATAGAGTACGGTAGAAGATGAGAAGATGAAGATGTAAAAGTAGAGGAGAAAGAATACTGAAGTAGAAGAATAAATGAAGAAAAAGAAGAAAAATGAGAATAAGAATGAGAAGAAAAAGAAGAAAAAGAAGAAGAATGAGGAGGAGGAAGAGGAGAGGTAGAAAGTGTACAGAAGACAAAGAACAAAGTTAGAAAATAAAGGACTAGAAACAAAAAGAAGATGAAAGTGAATAGAAGAAAAAATATATAGATAACAAAGAATGAAGAACGATTTGAGAAAAAGAGAGGTTTACAAGCAATAGAAGAGTGAACAGAGTGAAGCAATTGGTAGTAATGTGAATATCATATGAGTTGGAGGAGAATAGAGAGTTAGAGAAATATAACAATAATAAAGAAAAATAGAGTACGGTAGAAGATGAGAAGATGAAGATGTAAAAGTAGAAGAGAAAGAATACTGAAGTAGAAGAATAAATGAAGAAAAAGAAGAATGAGAAGCAGAATGAGAAGAAGGAGGAGGAGATGTAGGAGGAAAAAGAGAAAGAGGAGGAGGAGGAGGAGAGAATAAAGAAAAAAGATACGACAAAGAAGATCTAGTAGCGGGGTGAAGCAGATAGTGTACAGAAGACAAATAAGAAAATTAGAAAATATAGAATAAAAAAAAGATGTCAGTGAATAGAAGAAAAATGAATAGATAACAAAGAATGAAGAACGATTTGAGAAAAAGAGAAGTTTACAAGAAACAGAAGAGTGAATAGAAAAAAAAAAGAAAGAAGAAGGAAGAGAAGAGAAAATGAAAAATAATACCAAGAAAAGGTCCAGAAGAAGAAAATAAGAAGAAATAATGTCTAGAAGAAAAGATGGAGATAGAAGGAGAGAAGAAGTAAAATAAGAAGAGGAAAAGAAGGAAGCGGATAACAAGATAAAGTAATGGTAAAAGAAGAATGAGAAAAATAAAACAAGATTAAGACAAAGCTGATCAAGAAACAAAATATAAATAAGAAAAAATACAGAAAATCAAGAAGAAAATAAGAAAATAGAACATTAGATCAAGATGAGTAAGAAAATAAATGGGAAGAAAAAAGATCAGTATGGTAAAGAAGATAAGAAAAGAAGAAAAAGAAGCAAAAGAAAAATAATAAAGAGAGTAAAAAATAATAATATAATGATGCGGTAGCTAAGGGAATATAGAGTCTAAAACTATTGGAGTTGAAAAGAAGAGCATAAATAAGCAAAGGAAAAATTATGGGAAATTATTATTGGCGTATCTAGGGGAGGGCGCACGCCCCCAAAAATTACTCGCCCCTATCAAGCAATATGGACTTGAGGCCTAGAACCTGTAAACAACAATACCTGTCTCTTATACACATCTAGATGTGTATAAGAGACAGTTATCAGCCCCTCCCCCAATTTCAAGACTTCTAGGTACGTCACTGGAAATTATGCTTAATAAAATAAAAAGACAGAACAGAAAAGTAGTTGAGAAAAATTAATATATAAAAATAAAAATAAATAAATTGAAGAAGCGAAAAGAAGACAGTAGAAAGAAGAAGTGAAGTAGGCAATTTCGATAGCAAGAGAATTTGAATATATAAATAATAATAAGACAGACAATAGAGAAACTTATTCATAGTTAAAAAATTATTGTAATTAAACTATAGTTATAGGCTAATAAACACATATTTATTAATAGATCAAACGGTCGTGAATAAAACTATGAGCAGACTGTACAAAATATTAAAGGGCCAAAGTAAGGACACATCAAACAAGAAGATACTGATAAATAGGTATAAAACATAATGAATGAAAGTAGGAAGGAGTGCAATTAAACAATTTGTTGGGAATATTTAAGAGTGCGTGTTAGAGCAAGGATAGCAAGGGTTGTTTTGTGTTCCATAGAAGAAATAAAAAGAAGGAATAATGTGTAAGTAACAATAGATATAAATAGATAGAATGAACAAAACAAAGAATACAGAAGAGGTAGAACAAAATAGAAGAACAGAAGTTTTATTGGTTTACACACGGAAATGTCTACACCAATGATCATTTATGCAAAATCCAAATCTCTGATGCTCTTCCAAAAAGAAAAGAAAACCCGTTGTGAATAAACCATGCACAGGATAAAAATTTTAAAAAAAGAAAGCAACTTAACTGTAAGTTGTAATTTGGCATTATCTCCCATTGCACGTAGGGATATTCTACAATAAATAAACTAGACTAGACTTATCCGCAGCCTGTTGGTTGAATTTAAAACCGCTATCATTACACTGAAATCATTTGGCAAAAATAATGGCGACCAGAAAGAAAAAAATGTTCTACAACGAAAATCTTTCGTAGGTTTGTAAGAATTCAAAGTACATCGGTGAGTTAATGTTCAGTAAGTATATAGTTGCGTTGGCATTGTGTCTATATACACACTCCTCATGGAATAACTCCTGGTTCCCAATCCACATGGAATCCACATTCACTTGCAGCTCAATCAAAATCTTTTCGGATTTTATGGAAAGTTTTTTTTTTACGATATTCATATTTGTCCATTTTTGTCCAGATCCGCCACCAGTTATTTTCCAGTCATCATTTCAACAAATTCTGAAAGCAACAAAGAAACAAATATTTAAACACATACAGTTTAAATATTATTATTGATAATATTGATTATTATAATAATAAATATTAATTAAACATTTTTACTCAAGTATGGTTGCATTATAATAATCCATCACAATCCTTATCATCATCTTTCTCACCACCACCACCACCACCACCGCTATCGCCATATCGTCATCATCATTATATTCTACATCATCACCGTCACAACTACCACACAACCATCATCTCCATAATCATCACCATCATCCTCCTCATCATTACCGTCACCAAGAACACCAACAACCATCACCACCATCATCACCACCATCAAAAAGTTTCGACAATATTGTTCGTAAACATCATCATCATTATCATCATCATCAATTTACAACGAAGGCAAACCCTGTACTGTGTATGTAAGTATGTGGGTATGTCTACATAGACGTTTTTGGCCCGGGTTAAGTACCCTGGGGTTTAATAAGGAAATGTGTAGAGCAATGTCGATACTACATGTAAGCAAAGATACTAGAAATACAAGATAGAGTTCTCCACACAAAAAAAGTGTTCCACTGTGTTCCACCGAAATGCATGGTGGGAATACGAAAAATGGGACGCCCCCTACAGCTGGATCTAAAACAACTTGTGCCAAACTTTCGTTACCAAGTTGTCGCGTATTTTATTATCACTTCTCAACAAAGATACTAGATATAAAAACAAACTGGAATAGACACCCAGACAGTGACATCGGTGAATACATAACCTCCAAGAGACAGTACTTATTCTCATGTTAGATTGAAATTGACTTAACATCACAATCTTGCATCTACTATCATCTGAAAAACAGAAGTTGCTTTCTCGACTGCTTTGAAAGTTTTCCTCCATTAGTGGAAAAGGAAGGGCGCCTTTTGCGTCTGGATATACTTAGCAACAGAAGGGCGCCCTGTACGTTGGGCACGAAGTATAGGAAACTTGCATGGTTAAAAAGAAGGGCGCCGCCTACGTTGGGCACGACTTCCGCCTCATTTTTACAATGCGAGAACTCTATCTTGTATTTCTAGTATCTTTGATGTAAGTGCCGTGATTGGTTCGTGGTTTACTTGGTGAAGTAGGCGTATTGCCAATGACAAAGTATACAAAAAAGCTTTAAACGTGGAAAGTAATATACGGTGCTTTATGTTACGATTTGCTTAAGGGGGCAATCCGGCTCGGTAGATTCCCAACATGTATATATTTAAAAGAAGCAAGTAAAAGTCATCGATATGCTTATGTATGCATTACTAAACAACGTCCTGTAGTACATGCTAGCTAAATCATTGAAGTGCCTGAGACTTACCTTCATAATTAACCTGTCCATCACCATCAATATCAGCTTCTTTGATCATGTCTTCGACTTCATCCGGTGAAAGGTGTCCGAGTCCTTCTACAACTTGACGCAGTTCATCGATACTAATCAAAAGAACATATCATTTTAAGAGTTCAAATTTAATTTCACTTATTTGGCCGTCTATATGTTCGCATCTACAGTATACACAACTGTTATCAGTCAAATATGGCGGCGAACTCAGAATTTTAGAAGGATAAATACGAGCGAACAACTTAACCTTCTAAAAACCATAAACACATAGAAATATAATCTAAGTTATTAAAATATAAAAACATTGTTGTCACTGCGTCAGTGGAAGTACTGACCAATCCGAACAGCAACATTAATGATGTAATCAAAGGTAACGGATTCAGTAAATTTTAGAGGTACGTCTTACCTAATTACACCGTTCCCATCACCGTCAAACATTCGAAATGCTTCTTTTAATTCCTCTTCTTGATTTGCACATTGCATAACGTGGGCCATCATAACGAGAAAGTCATCAAAATCAATTGATCCACTTTCTTTCGGGAACAAAATGAAAAACATGTAAGTCAAATCAATCATCTATCCACAATTGTTAAAAAAAACATATTGCGATTATAACACACTAAATAGGTGAAGATGCTAGAATATATTACAATTCTTCGAAAAAATATATATAGGCCTATTTAATGGGGTTGCAGAACAAAAACATCGTTGACAACCTAAAGCGTTAAAAAAGTATTTAAAAAAAAGGGGGGGGGGGGAAGAAAGTAACAGAAATTATTGATCGCCGAAAAAAAAAGTATTTTAAAAAAAGGGGGGGGGGGAAGAAAGTAACAGAAATTATTGATCGCCGAAAACGCCTCGGGCCTGTGGATAAACCTGGCTCAACTCACCGGGTTTATCTACCTGCCAGTCTGAACTAGGTGGCTTATCTCAAGCCGGGCTGTGGTCCTATAGTAGGCCTGGCGTGCCACCGTGTCTAAATTTTCTAAGGCTACGTTCAGACTTGGAGATACGCCATGCCAATAATTTTAATTTAAAGCTAAAATCCCCCGGAGTTATTGTATATAAAAAACATAAGCGATTCAAATGCATAGGCCTATGCAGTAGCTATACAATTATATTGAAGTCATTATAATTTCGATCTTAGGTCGTCGTGAAATCGAAAGTTCTATATTATTATACTAACCGCCGCAACCAACTTCACTTATCATATTCTGTATTTCTTCATCTGACGGTTCTTGACCAAGATTTTTCATAACTTCCTTAAGTGATGCTGCTGATATTGAACCCTCGCCTTTGGTGTCAAAACAGGTAAATGCTTCTTTTATTTCTGTAACAATAATAATCATAATAATATCAGTATTAATATTATCATCATTAAAATTAATGATATTAATAATGATAACATTAAAAATAACAATAAAATAATAAATTAATTATGATACTAACCCTCAACCTGTTCTTCGGTTAAATCAAGTTCTTCTGCCTGTTAAACAAAGACGTAAACATGCAAATAGAGTTAAGAAATTACACTAATGACCAGTAGTGCATAAAATAAAGCTTACATAAGAGGGGTCGGTATGACATATAATAATTTTATTTTCAGAGCACACATTTATCATCCAATGCTTGATGAAAATGTAAAAATCCTGAGCTTGCCGTATTTAAATTGCCTGTATTGCGGTGCGTAGCGTAAACGCACGTCTACGTATCATGTGCGATTACGACAGGAATCCGTTTATTGCCACATTCACAATAAAATCGGACCCATCAGAGTAGGTCAACTATAAATAGGTTATGCATTATTATCAGTAAATCAATCATTTTAAATTAGCGTCCTACTTACCATTTTGGATGTATCGATACCAGGTCAGGAATAAGGTTCACGTCCTATGGAGGGGAGAGAGAAACAGATATGATGTTATCGATAATTATACTCTAGTTTATACCGAAATGCTCCTTGATCACTTTACAAATGTGTATTGGCTCAAAATGCGTAATGCGTAAAAACCCCGACACGTCACTTCATTGCCCTAAAAGATTTAGCAAGTATGGTCTGTTACAGTTATTGTTCCGTAGGCTTTTTAATGTTTGTCGTATTCATCAGTCTACCAAATGCATGAGACCCAATGTAATAATATTCTTGGCTACCTCCCAGGCGGCGTATTACAATCCATCATCCTTCATTAGATACAACTGGTCCTGCGCGTGGCTGCTATCTTTACATAAACATCGCTATCAAGTCAAGTACCAAATTTAGGCATTGCTGGTGACTTAACGTCATTCCAGCAGCACGTCGCATTAGCACATCACCCCGGGGGCTTCATCACAATAGTTTCTCCTCCACAAAAAGTGATAAAGAATTAAGAGTAAAGGCCTTTGTTAATATCCATCTACCTCGGTATATTTAGGTGCATTGTGACTATTTAGGCCGGAATCTTAAAAGCCCATATATGGGTACTCGGTTGATGGTTTTGTAAACTATGCATAAGGCAATAAAACGAAGGTCAAGAACTGATGTACTTTTGATGCTTAGAAAATTAGTCAATACTTTCTATTTTTGAAAGATTTCGATAAAAACAGTCAATTGATGTAACTAATAATTGAAATGAGACGGAGGCCTATAACTTAAAATTAACACTCAAATGATTTATAACAAATTCTCCGTCTATATACCGTATTAGATATTGAAATCTGCTGCTAATAATTGTATTTGTATTGTGCAATATGACTTAATAAGAAAAATATAATAATCATTACAAAAATAGTCTGTAAGCCTATATGTACCGTATGTATTAATTACAATAAAATGTTGACAGTTTAATTGCAGAGTTTTATAAATCGTAACGAGTTAAATTACATAGTATGCGCCTTGAGCACCTTTGGTGGAGATGTGTGCTTTATAAATCTTTAATATTATTATTATTATTATTATTATTATTATTTAGTATATATAACTAAACAAAAGTGTATATATATAAATTCAGCATATATATATATCATATATATATATATCATATATATATACACATATTATATATAGG